ACCATTACTCATCTAAGTATGGAACGTGTTAACTACATTACCATTACTCATCTATCTAAGTATGGAACGTGTTAACTACATTACCATTACTCATCTAAGTATGGAACGTGTTAACTACATTACCATTACTCAGATGAGTAATGGTAATGTAGTTAACACGTTCCATACTTAGATGAGTAATGGTAATGTAGTTAACACGTTCCATACTTAGATAATGTAGTTAACACGTTCCATACTTTAAACAAGTATAGAGAGTACAAAGCGTGTTAATAAATGTAAAACTGAGCCAAATCTTGATCTATAACGAGGAGTCTTAAAACTGTTAGTATCAGTGCACTTGTTGGAATTAATTTGAGATTACTGACACCTGTTACAAACTGTAAACGTCTTGTCACTTTTTTTCTAAAACAGCAATGAAAATTTAGAAATTATGATTCATTCTACTGGAAATTTAACTATCCATAAACTCTGTAACCTCGTTCTCTAAGGGCCCGGCATGGCCAGGTGGATAAGGCGCTCGACTCACAATCTGAGGGTCGCGGGCTCGAATCCGCATCCCACCAAACATGCTCGCCCTTTCAGCCGTGGGGGCGTTATAATGTGACTGTAAATCCCACTATTCGTTGATAAAAGAGTAGACTAAGAGTTGGCGGTGGGTGGTGATGACTAGCTGCCTTTCCTCTAGTCTTACACTGCTAAATTATGGACGGCTAGCGCAGATAGCCCTTGTGTAGCTTTGCGCGAAATTCCAACAACAAACAAACAAACCTAGTTCTCTAGTGTTATGGCGGGAAATATTAACATAATAGAAAGTTTTTATTTTCCAAAAATAAAAAAACAAATTGATCTTAGCTTACGTAAAAAAAGTTTCTTTTTTTTTGTTGTTGTTGTTAAGCCTATTTCATATAAATACAATAAATTATTTTTCATTCATAGTCCTCTTGATTCTTTTTTCTGTAGTTCTGCTTTAAACCACTCACGGCGCTAATTTTCTTCTCAGGTTCTTGAGTTCTACTTCTTTCGTCGGACTAACATATTTTGCATTTGAAATGGATGAACACATCAACTTAAACTACTTTATTGCCTGCTGTGCGGAGTTTCTAGGGGTAATTTTGCCTTTAGGTTTCTTACACCAATCAGGTCGCCGATGCTCGGTAGCAGTGTCCTCTACCGTCAGCGGTGTGTTACTCCTAAGCCTTCTTAGTCCATCCTTGGGTAAATATTACATCCTTATAAGGAGTGAAGATCACGTTCTATACCTGGATAAATACGCTTCCCTCTATTAGAATAAGACCACCTCCAGTCGCATACATCTTCATTACACACTCAGAGGAAATTTAACAATTACAGAGCCTTTCAGCACGAAACTTTCTAGGCCTTACAGAATCCTCCCTAAACGTGTAGATTCATAAACTTGTTGTATTGTCACATTTTCTGTGAGGCTTCTCAACAAGCATCACTACAGTTGTCAGTACTATGAGTGGTCTCGTTTTATTGGAGGATGATATAGAATAGTACAGTTCCATACTTAGATGAGTAATGGTAATGGTAATGTAGTTAACACGTTCCATACTTAGGTAAGTAATGGTGTAAAACTAACCAAAAATTTGTTAA